CCCGAAGCTTCAAATGACCGTATCTCATCTTCTATATGAGCTAGTAAGTCGGTTCTTTGACCAAAATTGAGCTAAGATGAAGCCGCTTTGAATCAGAAGGCTAGAGACGCAGTGTGTCTCGTCGTCTGGCGTCTCTAGCCTCCTGAAACTTCAAATGACCAGGTATCGGCTTCTAGATGAGATAGAATGTGGAAATTTGGACAGAAATGAGTAAGATTGTCTGCCGAACCGAATGATATCAAATTCTTGTAATTCTGAAAAATCTGATTTCTGGGTTTTTGAGGATTGTCAAAATTCTCGGTCCTTTTTTCCATCGGAAAATGGCCGAAAAATGACCTGAACTACCGTAACCCAAAAAATGCGATTTTCAAAGTTTTCGCTGATGGTCTTGGATCACGGTAGTTTTCGGTTTTTCATAGATACCTTGCAGACATCCGGACACTTGGACAGAGAGAAAAATGAATGGGTTACTGGATTCCTGGAATCCTGGTTTCCTAGATTCCTGGATTCTAGGATCCTGAGTCTTTCGATATTCAGACCCTGGATCCTTCGATCATAGGTCCTAGATTCCCGAATCCGAGGGTCCTAGGGTCCTAGGATCCTAAATTTCTAGACACCTAGATCTTCGGAGTCTGAATCCCAACGGTCCAGAAACCTAGGACCGTGAATTCTTGAATCCTCGGACCTTCGGAATCTGAATTCCTTAATCCCAGAACCTCGAACCCCAAATCCCTAATTTCCCAAATAATTCCAGGACACCGCAATGTTCTACTGTAAATCGATCAACGACAACGCGCTCTTCCTCGAGACAATGTCGGAAAAACGAGAGCTCGATCCAGACTGCGCCGCGCATATCCCATCGGACGATGGCTCCGACTTCTGGATAATTCTTACTGTAGACTCTCATATCCACAGTATCGACGTCCACTTCTGCCAACGATACGACGGCCAACACACGGATATTCTCGATGAGCTGTGGTCGGGAATTCGTCAGGAGCTGAGAACCCTAAACCAGGAGTCCCTGTTGGATATGATGTATGTGCAACGACGAGCTGATAAGCTGCTGATCGCTGAATCTCGAAAAATCGCAGCGTTCGAGGTGGAGAAATCGGATAGTGGCATTCGGACTTTGACGAAAAAGCAACAGTTGAAACAGGCGGCGGCGAATGGCGGACTGGTTCATGAGGACTTGTATTACTACTTCCCCGAGCGATATTTTGGATGCAAATTGCAGAGGGAGATATGGTAAGGGCTAAAAATGAGCGAAAAACTAGGTAAAAAATGACCGAGACTTGACGAGACTCGGCGAGACTAAGCTTGGAATCGACGAGACCCGACGAGACTAGGCTAAAAATTGTTGAGACTGGATGAGACCAAGCTAGAACGGTTCGACATTTGGCCGAGACTAGACTAGAAATAGACGGGACCTAACGAAACTAGGCTAGAAATCACCGAAACTTAGCGAGACTATGCTAAAATAGGCCGAGACTCAACGAGACTACGCTAGAAATCTTCTAGACTCGACGAGATCAGGCTAGATCGGTTCGAGACATGACCGAGAATAGACTAGAACTGGACAAGACGTAACGAGACTAAGAGGAGAATAAACGAGACACAACGAGACTAGGCTAAAACTCGTCGAGACTCGGCGAGACTAGGCTAGCAAAAAACGAGACTTAACTAGACTAGACTATGAGCTAAAAAAGGAAAATTCTGATAAATAATGCACGAAAATCTTGACGAGACTTAACGAGACTATACGATATTTGGCTGAAAAGCGTCGAGACTCAACGAGACTAAGCTAGAAATCACCGAAACTTAGCGAGACTATGCTTTAAATAGGCCGAGACGCGACGAGACTAGGCAAAAAATCATCGAGACTTAACGAGACTAGGCTAGAAGTCGTCGAGACCAAACGAGACTTACCCAACCCGAATTTCACAGTTTTGAACTGGACGAGACTTCGCGAGACTTTACGAAACACGAGATTTTTAGTCTCTCGTTGGTCTCGGAAAGTCTCGTCGAGTTTAGTTAGGTCTCGACAATTTCTAAACCTGTCTCGTTGAGTCTCGTACATTTCTCGTTCATTATAGCCAAGTCTCGTTCAGTCTCGTCGAGTCTCGACGACATCTAGCTTTGTCTCGCAAATTCTCGATCATTTCTTGCCAAGTCGCGTTGAGCCTCGGAGATTTCTAGCCTAGTCTCGTTAGGTCTCGTACGTTTCTCGTTCAGTCTCGTGAAGCAACGTTGTCAAAAAGTCTCGGCAAAGTCTCGAAACTCAATTTTTTGCTTTACAGGCTCGAAGTACCGGAACGTGTTCGCAACCAAAGTATGCACACCTACAAGAACCCCCTCCAAACGGCATTCGAGAGAATCAAGGCGCCGTTGATACAGTACGCCGTGCACAATCGCTCGGATCTGTTTGTCTACAAGTGAGGATGCTGAAAATGCTAAAAATCCTGAAAATCGATATTTCCAGGGACCCCGAAACGAAGCAAATCTTCTATTTCCACCTCCACATGGACGCCGACTCGTATCAGTTGGCAATTAAAGGCGCAGAGAAGAAGCTACGGTCGAAACATTTGGCGGCAATTCAAAAATCGCTAGAAACAAGTATTTGTATGACGATTTTCGGGATTCAGGAGCCTTCTGAAGACGTCGTCGGCGTGTTTTTGAATGCGTTGCAGGATAAATTGGATGGACAACTGTTGGGGGAAATCATGAAGGGATACACACAGAATATGGAACAGGCGCTGTCGATTAGCGAGGTGCAATTTTTGCAACCCCATGGACCACCGGATATTCGGCAATTCTTCTCGATTCCCTTCATTTTTGAGGTAATTTGGCTGAAAACGGTTCAAAATGAGTCATTTTACGCTGAAAATGAGCAATTTTGACCCTAAAAAGCGGCTTTTTTAGAACTACGCCGTTTCAGAACTTTTTGTGACGTTTCAGAACTGCGACGCTTTAGACCTTTTTGAGCCGTTTCAGAACTTTTTGTGACGTTTCAGAACATTTTGTGACGTTTCAGAACTGCGACGCTTTAGAACTTTTTGAGACGTTTAAGAACTTTTTGTGACGTTTCAGAACATTTTGTGACGTTTCAGAACTGCGACGCTTTAGACCTTTTTGAGACGTTTCAGAACTTTTTGAGACGTTTCAGAACTTTTTGAGACGTTTCAGAGCTGCGACGCTTTAGAACTTTTTGAGCCGTTTCAGAACTTTTTGTGTCGTTTCAGAACTGCGACGCTTTAGAACTTTTTGAGCCGTTTCAGAACTACGACGCTTAAGAACTTTTTAGGGTGTTTTAGAACTTTTTGAGACGTTTCAGAACTGCGACGTTTTAGAACTTTTGGTGACGTTTCAGAACTTTTTGTGACGTTTCAGAACTGCGATATTTTAGAACTGTGACGTTTTAGGACGGCGACATTCTAGAACCGGTCATTTCGAAACCGCGACGTTTTATAACTGCGAAGCTTGAGAATGTGGACACTTTAGAACTACGACATTTTAGAACCGCAATTTTTTAGAACAATGACGTTTTAGAACTGCTCATTTTAGAATTGTGACACCCTAGAACTTTGTCAGAATAGAACTGTGACGCTTCAGAACTATGTCATTTCAAAACTGCGACGTTTTAGAACTGCGACACTTCAGAACTATTGCATTTTATAGCCCAAACTAGACCAAATTCGCTCAAATTTTTTGGGATTTCTAGCGATTGCTCATCCTTAATTTCTTCCAGAACTACCTCTCCTCGCTCCTCTTCTACATTGGCCAACACATCGAAGCCCTACCAAGTGTCTCCCCGGCAAAAGTCAAAGAAAATGACATTTTCTACAATGGAGCAGCTTTTAATCGGGCGCCAGTGGTCCCCGTATGGCCAGCGATTCGGACACGAAGTTTCCGACACCGGTTGGAACCCATTGCTCAGCTGAATCTCGTCCAACCAACCGTACAGTTTTCCGAGAAGGTTGAGAGGATTGAAGCGGTGGAGGAGAAGGTGGACCAAAAAGTGGAAACACCGCCTCAAAGGATTGCCATTGTCCCTTTAAACGGACCCATACCGATCCTGCAAACCCAAGAATCCGAAATCGAGCAAGCGATCGAAGCGGTGCCAGAACTCACGCCCACACCAATCCCACCGCCGCCAGAACCCGAGACTCCGCCCCTTGACCCCGCCCACATCTTTCGAGCCGAGACCCCGTTTGTTGGCCCAGTGCCAGCTGACTATTTGCTCAACTCGTTTTTCGTCTATCACATACTACCGGCACGTGGCATTGTGGACACTGGCATCGCGTTGATTGAATTCCGGATTTGTCGACCCGATGGAAGTTTGATGACGAGATTTGATCAGCCGGCGATGAACGAGCAGAGTCATACGTTGTTGGTGCCGAATGTGCCGGAGGACAAGGTAAAAAAGCGTAAAATAGGCTAGAAAGATCTACGAGACCAAACGAGACTAGACAAGACCTAACGAGACTCAACGAGACCCAGCGAGACTAGGAGAAAGCAAAGGAGACCTAACGAGACCCAAAGAAACTTGACGAGACCTAACGAGACCGCGCTAAAATAGACCGAGAAATGAACGAGACTAGGCTAGACAGACCGAGAAATGAACCTAACGCGACTTAACGAGATCTTACCATATTCAACGAAACTGCTCTAGACTAAAAGAAAGCTAACGAGACCATACGAGACCTAACGAGACTGAACGAGGCTGAACGAGACTTGACGAGACTAGGCTAGACTAGAAGAACGCTAACGAGGCTTGGCGAAACCTAACAAGATCTAACGAGACTTGACACGACGAGACTAGGCTAGATTAGACTAGACGACTCCTGGCGAGACATAACGAGACCTGCTAAGACTTACCTAAACTAGAAGAAAGCTAACGAGACTCAACGAGATCTGACGAGACCAGCCTAGGCCATAAAAAAGCTAACGAGACCTAACGAGACCTGACAAAACTAGGCTAAATCAGAAGAAAGCTAACGAGACTCAACGAGACCTGACGAGACTGTGCTGAACTATACCGAGACCTAGCGAGAACTAACGAGACCAAACGATACCAGGCGAGACCTAACGAGACCAGGCTATACCATCAGGTCTCGTCAGGTCTCGTTGAGTCTCGTCAAATCTCATCGGTTCTCGTTCTACTCTCGACGAGTTTTATCCGAGTCTCGTTGGGTCTCGACGATTTTTAGCCTGGTCTCGTCAGGTCTCGTTATGTATTGAGACATGCCGAGGCTAAATTTGAACAGATTAGGGTTGACGAGACCTAACGAGACCAAATTTATTTCAGGCCACCGTCTATCGTGACATCATCAAATCGCACGTCTCCCATTCTCCGAAACCCGAGAAATCGATTTGTGGCCACTTGGAGATGATCGTGTGGACGAAAGGAGACGTTGTGAACGACGTCTTCGAACGAATGATGTACGAGTTGATTGAGCAGAGCATGTTCGACGTCATCACCGAATTCGGATATCTGAACACGACGATTGTGGAGGAGGGAGCGCTCACGGGCCACGTGGCACTGACGAATCGGAGTTCGGACGCCTTCTTGCCGGGACAGGAGACTCCAGAACATCATCATCAGCAGCAGCAACCAGTGAGACATCTGACAAAACAAGGATCGGCGTCGAGTGTGACGGCTTCTGTTGACACGAGACACACACATCATCATCCACACCATCATCACACGGCGATTCCAAGTCATTCCGGAGAGATGAGACGTAGTTTGGTGGTGGGTTTGTGGGGCCGAGACTTGGCGAGACTCGAGATTACTCGGCGAGACTTGACGAGACTCAATGAGACTAGGCTGAACTAGGCTAGAAAGTGTCGAGACCAGACCGAGCCTAGACGAAACATGATCAAGATTTAGCGAGACTAGGCTAAAGATAGTCGAGACTCAACGAGAATCGACGCGACTCATTCAAGACTAGGCTAGAAATGATCGAGGCTGAGCTAGACTAGACTAGAGATAGACGGGGCTTACCGAGACTTGAGGAAATTTGTCGAGACCGCTCGAGACTTGATTAAAACCAGGCCAGACTTGACTAGAAATAGGAAAACCCTATCGAGACTTAACGAGACTTGACTAGAATATACTAGAAATCGCCGAGACCAAACGAGACTTGTCGAGACTAAACCAACTGATGGGCCAGGGTCCTAGGCGAGAATAGGCTAGACATAGTCGAGATCTAACGAGACGAGACCGCACGAGAATTGTTTGGAACTAGTCGAGACTCGACGAAAATAGACCGAGACCTGACGAGACTTAACAAGGCTGAATGATTGTAGACCGAGACTTGATTGAGACTCGACGAGACTCAACGAGACCTTGTGAGACTAGACGAGAGCAAGGCTTGGCGAGACTAAACGAGACCCAACCACTAACCCCTATCCATAGTTACAGCACGGACCCGGCTCCCTGGACATTCCGCTCACTCAACACTTCCCGAATCTCCCGCCGGCACCACGAACACCGGCATTCCGAATGCCACAAATCGCACGGGAACTCGAACAAGGATTTCATCAGCAGGATTCTGTGTAAGCCACTCTAATGCCCTTCTAATAGAGTTCCAAAGTTCATTCCTGTCCAATTTACAACTCTCTAGCTCATCTAGAACCCGAGATATAGCCATTTGAAGTTTCGGGAGGCTAGAGACGCCAGACGACGAGACACACTGCGCTCCCAAATTTCAAGTGGCTGTATCTCGGCTCCTAGAGGAGCTAGAAACGTGGTTTTTGGACTA